TGATATAAATAAAAATTAAAACGTGTTTCAATGTGATACTTGAAGTTGGTATCTTATTTTCTTTAATTTTGCATTTCTTGATAGCTAGGCAAGTTGAACATTTTTAAATGCCTTTATTGGTCATTTATAAATCCTTCCTTGTTAATTATTTAAATCATTTGTCCATTTTGTTACTTGTGTGGTTCTCTTTTACTGTTTTATGGTGCCTTATGTAGAGAGAATGTTAACCCTTTGACTCTTGGCTAATTTTAATAAATTTCCTTTTTGTGTTTATTCTCTATGTTTTATGTCACATAAAAACAAAACAAAACAAAAAAACCCAAACCCATTGCTGTCAAGTCGATTCCGAATCATAGCGACCCTATAGGGCAGAGTAGAACTGCCCGCTAGGGTTTCCAAGGAGCCGCTGGTGGACTTGAACTGCTGACCTTTTGGTTAGCAGATGAGCTTTTAACTACTATGCCACCAGGGCTCCTATGCCACATAGAAATTTTAAAATTTGATGTAAATACATAAATATTTTCCTTCAAATGCTCTGGCTTAGCTTGTATGCTTAGAAAAGCTTACTTACCTGTCTACCTTACTCCTTTCCTTTCTTCACTCATTCGGAAAATATGTATTCAAGGCCTATTATGTTCCGGATGCCATCCTAGTGCTGGAGATACAGTTAACAAGATTGACAAGGATCCTTCTTTCATGAACCTTAGGTACTAATGTGATGACTCAAACATTTCATAAGCAAATGCATATATAACTTCAGTAGGTTTGAGTGTTATAAAGAAAGTAAAACAGGATAATGTGCTAGAGAATGGTGGCTGTGGCAGAGGGGTTTAATTTAGACTGAGTAAAGAGTAAAGGTCTCTCTTACAAGATGACATTTTTGCTAAAACCTAAATCACAAGAAGGGTTCAGCCAAACAAGATCAGAATAATTATTCTAAGTAGAGGGAATTACTTACCTATGTACCAGTTGCCGTTGAGTTGACTCTGACTCATGGCAACCTCCTGTGTGTCAGAGGAGAACCATGCTCCATAGGGTTTAGCTATTTAGCCAGTTTTTTGGAGGCCAATTGCCAGGCCTTTCTTCTGAGGTGCCTCTGAGAGGACGCAAACTGCCAACTTTTGATTAGAGCTGAGAATAAAAAAAACCAAACCCACTGCCTTCGAGTTGATTCCAACTGATAGCGACCCCATAGGGTTTCCAATGCAGTAAACCTCTATGGAAGCAGACTGCCACATCTTTCTCCCACAGAGCTGCTGGTGGTTTCCAACCGTTGAGCTTTCGGTTAGCAGTCGAGTGCCTTAACCACTGCACCACCAGGGCTCAGAGCTCAGAATAGGAAGTACTAAGGCCCTGCTTAAGGTAGGAAAGAGCTTGAGGTGTTTGAGGACAGCAAGGAAGCAAGTGGACAGTGGTGGACAAAGGAGAGTCAGAAAGGTAAATGAGCAGCTGGATCATGTAGGACCTTGCAGGCCCTTGTAAGGATTTTGTCTTTTACTCTGAGTGAGATGCGAGCCATTGGAGGATTCTGAGCAGGTGAGTGACATGATCTGACTTAAGTTTTAATGGCTGCTGTGGAGCTGAGACTGTAGAGGGGCAAGATTAGAAGTTGGGACATCTGTTTGTAGACTATTACAGTAGGCCAAGTAGGTCAGCCAAGAGATGATGGGGGCTTGGATTAGGATTGTAGTGGTGCAGATGGTGAGAAGTGAATGGGTATACTGTGATGGCATAATCCAAAGGCTCTGTTGATTGGATAGGATGTGCCAAGCAAAGAAAAACAGAAGATGCAAAGATCACTCTTAAAAAGTATTTAGCTTGAGCAACTGCATGGATGGTGGGGCCATTTAAGAAGGAGAAGACTGGAGGATAAGCAGGTTTGGGAAGGAAAATCAAAACTCCTGTTTTGAATTTTATGTTTGAGGTAGATGTTTATAGAAATCTGGGTGGATATATCAAGGTGGAGGTTAAATATATGTGTTTTGAGTTCATGGGAGAGGTAAATGTTGGAGAATTAAAGATGAGAGCAATTGGCATATGGATGATATTGAATTCTTGGAACTAAACACAAACACTTAAAGAGAGATTTAAAAAAAAAAAAAAAAAAAGTCAAAAAGGGCCAGCACCAAAATCTGAGGAACTCAAACATTTAAAGATGAAATAAAGGAGAAAGTGTCAGCAAAGTGATAAGATGATAAAAAACGAAGACAGTATTTTATCATGGAAGCATGGAGAATGCCTTTCAAGGAATGAAAGCACGCTAAAGGTTAAAGTCAAAGTGTTCACAATGGCCTAGAAGGTATTATTTCATCTGCATCACTCCATCCTTTCTTTGACCTCATCTCCTACTACTCTCCCCATAGCTCAATCTGCACCAGCCACTATGGCTACCTTGCTATTTGTTTGGATCTTTGCCATACTCCTATGTCAGGGTCTCTGTCCTACTCTTTGTGTATTCATATTATTCCCCTACTTTGTTCTTCACTAAAAAAAAATTTTTAGTGATAGAGGCGTAGCCCCATCCATTAACCTGGACACATGAATGGTCTCATAAACAGTTACTAAGTGCCAAATTGAGTCTCACTCCCAGGTTCCTAGTGTTATACAGCACTTCATGTTTTCATTGTAGGTACTTATCTCCTAAGCTGATGCCTGCATCTTTAGCCACTTTGTCAGCCTGGATGCCACTTCCTCTAGCAGACACCATTTCAGAGGGAAGCAGAATATTTTGATAAAGCTGATTTGAGGCAGCTGTCTTTGCTAAGGCTCTTGCAAAACACTGGAGTTAGAATATAACTGCTTTTGGATACTGATATGTATAGGCTTTCCTCCCTTGACCCTCGCTCTACCTTGAACTTTCCTTGCAGAAAACAAACCAGCTTTTCTCTTAGCTCTTACTTATTACAGAGGCTGTGGTGATTAGATCCATATGGGAGCTGAGGCTGATTTTCAAATACACTCTCTTGTCAGCTGCCCAGTGAACATATGTGCATGAGATTACTCCTATCATTAGCAACCTGTAAGGTCATTGGCTTTGCTCCTCCATCTCTTTTATTTTGTGGTGGCACGGTACCTGTCTTACTGTAACTTTAAAATTCCTTGTAGATTGCTTACCTCTAGTTTCTTAGTTGATGCTCTTTTCATTCAGCTAATCTTAGGATTCATTCAAAATCCTCTTAAGTAAAAACTAGAAATAGTTATAAATGGTCTGTTTACATCCTACAGTATAACACCTTATCTTCTGCATTTAATTTGGAATTATAAATCAAAGTTTGTGGTGTTACGTAAGGCTTGACGTTCACATTAGGGTTTATTGCACAGAGAAAATAGTGTTATCGGGAGAGGCAATCCTCATGAGCTGAGCACGTTCTTGTTGGGTATGTTAAGAATGCAAGGCCTTGACCTCTCTTTACCTGGGACATTTCTCAGAGTTGTGCTTGGCACTGAGCAACCTTGAGTCTTTCCCTTGACACAGAGCAAGCTTGCTTCTGCTTTACTATAAAAGCAATGAATCCCCAAAACTCAGCATTTTTCTTCTGTAACACAACCCACTGCACGTGCAGACATCTGTCATATGCCCTGTGTTGTCCCATGTGATTTGGGGGTCATGGGTAACCGACACAAACTAACATGAAGCTCTGACTACTGCTTGTGCCATGAGTAATAATGTCCTTTGTCTGACCCAGGAGACTTCTTGTGCTAGCATTCATGAAACTAACAGGTTAACTTGTTAGCTTGTAAGTAGGGTAAAATCTCAGGCTCTGCAGAGTTCATAACAGATGTTTCCAGATATTATCCCTAAATCAATCATGCTAGGACAATATTTCCCACCAGGATTATTTTTGCCGTTCATCTGTGTACCACGTTACTAATATTGTGTTCTACTTAACGTTCTTCTCCAAACTGAATCACTTATTTCTCTTTTTTGAAAAGGACTTTCTAACACCACCCTAAATCTAAACTACCATCATTTTCCTTAAACAGAGTATTCATTAATACACATTCAAATAAATAGATGGCTATTACAATTTAAAATATTTGTGTACTCTCTAAAGATCATCTCCCCCTACCACCAGGCTGTTCTACTTTAAAAAATCCCAAATTATTTAATTACATAGAGAGCAGTCATAGCTGGGGCAGACTATCACAATTCGTATTTCTAGTTAGTGCATTTTGAGGCCTTATCTTTGTCCCTATAAAAAGTTTCCATCAATCCCCCTTGGGAAGGGGAAAAAAAGGGGGAAAAGAAGTCTAGTTCTGACTTAAAGTGGGACAGGTCCTCCTTCTCCAGGTATATATGTCCAGGACAGCCTGTCCATCAGGCTATTTAAGTCTGGGGATCCGGCCCACTGGGGATTCTGAAGAAATATGTTGGACTTTACTACTTGAGGATTCCAGCACATCAGCAGTGGTAGGGGCCTGGAGGACGCAGGACCTGGCAGAAGCAGCAGGAATACCCAGCATTACCAAGGAGATAGGAGGCTAGGGAAGCACAACAGGAGAGGAACATAAAGGCATTAAGGTCGTACCCACCTAATGGCTGCCTGGATTTTATCTTAAGCACAGGTGAGTACTACTTTCACTCTCCCAGTTAGTTGAAAGAAGTCTCTAGAAAGTTAAGGCAGGTGGGGACAAAAGCCTGTCAAAACAACTCACAGTTATTCCCTCATCTGGTCCCCACAACATCCCTGTGAGATAATTATTATCCCTATTTCACACATGAGAAGAGATGTGAGATTTATAGCTAAGTCGTGGTAATCTGAGGTTCACATTTGATTCTAAAATTCTGTCAACAAACGTTAAAGTGTCCCCAGTGCCTTTAGAAATAACTGTTAAGTGCTGCCAGTTGCTTATTTATTGTTAAAAACTTTTATTATTTTTTAACAACAATAATGTGTTTTCATTCTGAGAATAAGGAAAAATACAAATAAGCAAAAAAGAAAAAACAAACACACCCATTATCCCACCACCGATTATTTTTCTTTCATCCTTCAGACGTTTTTATGTGCATATATATGATATACAAATGTACTCCTCCCTTTCAAAAATATGATATTCACATATTACTTAGTAACCTTTTTTTTTTTTCATTTTATATCCTTCGGGAACCTTTTTTTTTGCACAAATGAGTGAAGCTCCCCTATTAAAAGACAAAGACTTGTAGATGGGTTCAAATATGATAAACAATAAGATGCAGATACTAAGATGCTTCTAAAACCACTAACACCAAAACAAGTTAAAAGTTAGGAAGATGGGCAAAGGTATATCAGAAAAACATAAATCAAAAGAAAGCTATATGGCAACGTTAATATCAGAATAAAAATCAAGGCAAATCACAGTAAATAGGGGTAAGGATGGTTTCGATTCACCTTCCAACGCATCACTATAAGTTTGTTTCTTACTCTCCTTATCTCGTCCATTTCATCCACTTCTCTAAACATATCTTCTTTGCTTAAGTGCCTGTTGTGTATATCTTCTTTAAATTCCTGGAGAGACTGAATAAGCCTTTCTCTAAAAGTTCCTTCTGTTTTTTCCTCCTCCTCTGGTTCTTCCTTCTTCTCTGGGTTTTCCTCGGGCTTTGGCTCTTCCTCAATCTTTGATTCACCCTCATTCTCTGGTTTTCCTTCAATTTTTTGACAGGGTTTCATCTTGTGTCTTTCTGCCTCCCTTCTCTTCCTTTTTTTTCCTGCTTATTCCTCTTGGAATACAATTACTCCTAGGAGGCAAGGAGACAGGAAGTCAAAGACTTGGTGAATGGATCAGTGTTCTGGACAGAAGTCTCAGAATTTGGCTTTTTGGATTCAGAGCTGTTATCAAATACCTTTCACCTGAGAGGCCCAGGCAACAATCAGGGCTTCCCTGGCCCCGCCTTCTTCCACCTCCTCACCTCTCTTGTCCCTCCCTCCAGCTTTTTCCAGGGCCCTCCCAGAACATAGTTGCCTGAGGGGGATGGGCAGTGGGGTCTGCAACTTTTGTTCCGCCCTCGCCCACCTCCACCTCAGAGGCCCTCACGATGCTCTCCTCACCTACCTGTACTGATCCAGTTAGTTTCTTCCTCCTTTTCTAGCCTTGTGTCGTGCTAAGAACAGACCCGCAGACCTGCAGACGGGAAACGGGCGGGGAGAGGGGGAGGGGCGGCGAGCGCTTGGTGGGTCGACCAGCACCGGGGGCAGGACACACGTACCTTCCCTCATTCTGGGTCTCGGTTACGAAAAGTTTTCCACCTCTGTTTCCCCTAGTTCCCCGTCTTCCCCCCCCCCCCGCGCAAGTTCGCTCGCATTTCGCATCAGAGAGAGTGGAAAAACCAGATTGTTTCCAAACTATCTTTAAGACTGAGGCAGGGGTTGGGGGTAAGGTGGGTGTTGGGAAAACTGTCTGAGATGGCAGAGGACGATTATTTTTGTAAACTATCACCGGTCGCCTTTTCCGCCCGGGATCCTAGTCCCTTTCCCACGGGCCATCATTTTCTGCAGAGACAGACTTGACCTGGACTCCCTCAAGTCTTTGCCCTAGGAAACCTCACCCTAGGAATCCCCAGGCAGCACCCATCTTGATACCAACCTGCACAATTCCGGCAAGTTAACTCCTTCTCCTTCCCTTGGTCTGAGGACCCGCCGCCTACACAGCAAAAGGGAGCTGGTACCCAGAAGGGAACAAGGGCCAGATTAGCAGGACTTTTGCACACGTCGACTCCCGATCACGTGAGAGCTACGTCACCAGTGAGCACGGGTCTCCAATTTCCACTCCCACCAAAAACGCGGCAGAAGTCGGCCTGCCCTCTGCTCTTCGCATTCCTCTCTGCTCCTTCTTCGAATTCCCCTGTTAAACGTTTGGCCTTGTCAGTCGTTTCTGTTGTTCCTTTCCCAGAAGTGAAAATGGTATTTGCCTTTCTTTGATTACTAGGGAGGGGCTGCTTTTTTTGTGGAACTACTGAACTTTTCTACTTCTTTAAAACAATTGTCTCTTCTGTCTTTTGCTCCCAGGTTAACCAACCTCTCCATCACCGACCCTCCCCCAGCCTCCATTTCCTCGGCCGTCTGGTCCGGCTGTTGTGGGACCAGGTGGGCTGGGCATTGGGTTGTAAAAAAAAGGGGGGAGGGGGCCTGGGACAGGAGTAAGAGTTTTGAATGCAAGTTTTACTTTATTCTTAATACTTTTATATTCTTAAAAAATAACATCTTTTTACACTCAGAAAAGACAAAGACAAAATTACTTTCGTTAAATGAGTCAATACATGTACAGTGCTCAGAAAAGTGCCAGACATATAAGTGCTTTAGAAGTGTGAGTTATAATTATATTAGTATTTCATTTGAGGAAAAGGATTTAAAATGTAAAAAGTAATGTTTGCTTCCAGAGCCCTAGTGGTGGTGTCTTCCAGGAAGCTGTGCTGCCTGAAGAATCATCAACTGTCCGCTACACAAGTGAGCCTGAGTTTCATTTGAAAAAATGGAATAGTAACATCCAACTCATAAAATTGTCTGCTAGGAAGTCTAAATAGCACCAATATAAAGCACTCGGTGCATAGAAAGTCTTCAAAAGATACTGGTTATCTTTCAACCTTAACCTCAGTCTTTAGTAAAAGTCAGAAATTTGACATAAAAATTGCATATCCCTCAGAGGTAATAGTCGAAAAAATAACAAGAGGACACATAAACATGTATTTTTGTGTTTTGCATATGCTTCAGTGCCCCTTCTGTGAGGAAGCATGAAGAGTTCAAATGGTTTATGCAGAAGGAAAATAAAAAAAAAACCCTCACCCCATGTCATTTTATTTCACTTGCTCTTCTGTCATATTAATTATATCTTCTGAGAAGTACGTGTATTTGAGCCCCCAGAAAACACAAGGCATAAGTGTTTGGGGTCTGCTGTACAGAACACTGGGCAGAATTTAGGCAATTACATTTAAAAAATGTGTCCTCTTTGAGCCCACAAATCCATTCCTAAGTATTCATCCTAGGAAATAATTAACGATAGTCACAATGAGTTACTACAATAAAATCCAAGAACTGAATTATTTTTTAAAAAAATTTTTTTTATTGTACTTTAGATGAAGGGTTACGGAACAAATAGTTTCTCATTAAACAGTCAGTACCCATATTGTTCTATGAAATTGGTGAACATAGACCTGAATTCTTAGCATCAATCCTTTGGCTTGGACCTAAATATATATAGAGAAACCGCCAGTGAAAAGCAGCAATGAATGGACAGAAGGAAAGAGAGAACTGCTCTAGGCAACAGCAAATATGTACCCAAGCAAGTACACACGTGTGCTCATTCACACATGCGTGTATTCTCACAACTCTAGGATTCTCCTGGATGATTTTGCTAGAGGAAAAAGAGGGCAAACTTCATAATTCTGTTAAAACAATTCAAACTGCATACATGGTATGTACCACAGTACAGAAATAGAAAATGGCTATTAAGATATTCAACATAGTATTCATCTGAAACAACATGAACTACTGCCTCCTTTGCCATGAGATGAGAAGAACTGGATGGTGCCCAGCTACCACTGATGAACATTTCGATCAAAGATTCCATAGAAGAATCCTGACCAAAAGGGGAAAAATGCAGAACAGAATTTAAAATTCTCATGGACTCCAGACTCCCTGGAGCCATGAAGATTGGATGAATTCCTGAAACTATTGCCCTGAGATAATCTTTAAACCTTAAACCCAAAATATCCCCTGAAGTCTTGTTAAAATCAAACAGTAGTTTAGCTTAACTAGTAAAAAATGCCTTGAGCATTATGCTCTTTTAAGAACTATCTATATGGGATCAGACTGACAACAGCAACTCAAAAGATTAGATAGGAACTTTAGGGATCAGTGAATTTATGGTAATGGAGGAGGAACAACTCAGGAAAGGAGGTTGAGAATCGTTGCACAACTTGAAGAATGTAATCAATGTCACTAAATGGTACATGTGGAAACTGTTGAATTGGTGTATGTTTTGCTGTGTATATTCTCCACAACAACAAAATAAATAAAATTATATATAAAAATAAATAATGCAGAACAGAAAAAAGAAGATGTTCAACATAGAATTCTTTCTAATAGGAACAATTAGGAGCAAATTAAGTGGCTTACAAGAGGGAACAGGTTAAATTAATTATGTAATAACCATATAATACAATTGTAAGCACACATTTAAATAAGATTGAGAACAGTAGTGAGAGTTAAATTTTCATCTATGCAATTAGAAATAACAAAAAATATTAATTCTACACAGAGTTGGTGAGGGTATGGAAAAACAGGCATTTATATGCATTGTCAGGATACATATAAAATGGTACAACCTTTTTGGAAGTCATTATGGGAATAACAAACTTTAAAATACATGTGCTTTTTGACACATCAGTTCCTTTTCTAGGAACTTATACAGAAATGCTCCCACACCAAATACGGTCATTATAACAGTAGTGCTAATAGATTTTTGTTTTTTAAAAGGAAAAAGCCTAAATGTTCCTTAAAGGAGATTTATTAAAGAAAGGTTGGATCATTCCTGTCATGGAATACTATACAGAGATGAAAAATGATGACAGAATTACATTTGCTAACATGAAGAGTGCAGTATGTATTGTTAAATAAAAAAGAATAATTGAAATGTAATACGTATAGTATAATACCATTTTTGTAATCCAAACCCACTGCTGTCGAGTTGATTCCAACTCATAGTGACCCTGTAGGACAGAGTAGAACTTCTTGATAGGGTTTCCAAGGCTGTGAATCTTTATGGAAGCAGAATGCCGTATCTTCCTCCCATGGAATGGCTGGTGGGTTTGAACCACCGACCTTTCAGTTAACAGTCAAGTGCTTTAACCACCAGGGCTTCCTGTTTTTGTAACAGTGTACATATATTTATTTTTGTGTATTTAAGATATGTGTATACAGCTAAATTTTGCCATACCATAAGTGAAGTTCACAAATTCATTCCTGTACAGTTTGGAGTTACATTATTAAGAGATGAATGGAATGACTGATGTAAGCCTATTTGGCTAGCTGGCTGCACAATTCAAATCCATCAAGGTTTCTGTTGGTTTTGGTGCCAACCAGTAACAGTTGTTCACTCAGCAATAGAGCTTAAATATCATCCATCCATCTTCCCCTCTGTCTACCCCCCATCACCAATCACGTTATATCCGAAGTCAAGTTACTATGGGGTCTTACTGTATTTCTATATTATATTAGAAATGTGGATGACTATATGCTAAACTATTATCACAGGATATATTTGCGAGTGGGTATTCAATATAAAAGGAACTTTGACTTTCTAAAGAGTCCCTGGGTGGTGCAAATGGTTAACTGGAAGGTTGGCAGTTGAGTCCCTCCAGAGACTCCTTGGAAGAAAGGCCTGAAGATCTACTTCTGTAAAATCAGCAACTGAAAACCCTATGGAGCACAGTTCTACTCTGACACACATGGGGTCACCATGAGTTGGAATCGATGCCACAGCAACTGGTCAACTGGTTGACTTTCTAAGTGTTGCGTTTATATATTTAAAAATTTTATCTTTAATAGGCAAGCATTGATAATATTCAGAAAAACAATTGAAATAAAACTTTAAAAACATGCAGAAATAAAATACCTGACAAACATGAGACAGCAATATATTTATTGAAATCTCAATGTTTACTAAAATTTATAATATATTAGTATGTGAAAAAAAGGCAGGTTACAAATAGTAACCTGCATAGGATGCAATTTTTAAAAACAGTATATGTGTACATATGTATATGTATGCAAGCATAGAACATACTAGGGAATGATATAGACCAAAATATTAAAAGTTGATGTGACTGGGTGGTTGATGAGCTTCTGGGTGATTTATACAGTGAAACCTTTTGAGAGCTGGAACTCGATGGGACTGCCTTGTTTTTCCAGGTCTCGCAAGTTTTCAGCCTTTGATAGGATGCAATCACCACTTTTCTATCACTCTGTATTTAACCAAAGAAAAAAAAAAACCTGTTGCTGTCAAGTCGATTCTGATTCATAGCAACCCTATAGGACAGAGTAGAACTTCCCCATAGGGTTTCCAAGGAGCAGCTGGTGGATTCAAACTGCCAACCTTTTGGTTAGCAGCTGAGCTCTTTACCACTGCGCCACCAGAGCTTTCGCTCTATATTTAGTAGAAAATATTTGACTTTTCCTTCTCTGACTGGTTTGTGCCTTACACAGTGTCATGGTTTGAATTATGTCCCCCCAAAAAATGTGTGTATCAATTTGGCTAGGCCATGGTTCCTGGTACTGTGTGATTTTCCTGTATGTTGTAAATCTGCCTCTATGATGTTAATGAGGGAGGATGGGTGGCAGTTGTGTTAGTAAGGCAGGACGTGATCTACAAGACTGGATTGTGTCCTGAGGCAATCTCTTGAGATATAAAAGACAGAAGTGAGCAGTGAGACAGGGGGACCTCATACCATCAGGAAAGCAGTGCCGGGAGCAGAGCGCGTCCTTTGGACCCGGGTCCCTGCGCCGAGAAGCTCCTAGTCTGGGGGAACACTGATGAGAAGGCCGAGAGAGAAAGCCTTCCCCTGGAGCTGACACCTTGAATTTGGACTTCTAGCCTACTTTACTGTAAGGAAATAAACTTCTCTTCATTAAAGCCATCCACTTGTGGTGTTTCTGTTATAGCAGCACTAGATG